CTATTGCAGCTTGGAGTATTGTTGGATCAAATTGTGGAAGCGGCGGCAGAGGTGTTGGTGATGGTGGTGGAGGTGTCAGTGATGGTGATGGTGGTGGAGGTGTCGGTGATGGTGATGGTGGTGTTGGTAGTGGTGGTGGAAGTGTCGGTGATGGTGATGGTGGTGTTGGTAGTGGTAGTGGGGGTGGTGCTGTGCTGCTAGATAGTCTAGTCTCCTTCCTTGGCGGCATGGTTCTGTCATAAGTTGTAAACCAATGTTCTTTTAGTGAAAGTATATTTATAGGAAAATATTTTATACATAAAGTATATTATTACGTTGTTTTCCGGTATGTTTACGATACATACGATTTTATACTTTTAATTGACCCAATACATTGGGTTATGAGGTAAAATGAAAGTATAAAATATTTTATTTGAGTTTCCTTGTTTCCAAGTATATGACCGTTTGTAAAAGTTTCACACATACTAATTTAGTCGGGACATAATTAATATATTTATGTTTTAAAAAGATCTTTATCGGTTACTTCATTAGTTGCAAAGTGCTTACCAGTCATATGTGATTAAGATATAATAGTCCTTCGAATAGATGACCCTAACTCCAAGACCACAACCAAACAAGGACAGGAAGTGAAACAAAGATACATAAATTCTAAGTCTATAGCATCTTAGTTACATATGACCTTAGCGCATCCACTTAGCAGCTATTGATCTATAAATAAAGACCTATTTAATTCTCAGATAATTTATTATAGTAACACAAAATACTCCTATAGTATTTGTAAATGTTTAGTTTTGAGTTCTTAAAGTATCCTTTGTAGTGTGTTATTAGGTTTGTTAGATTTGTTGCCCATCCTGACCATCCCCCGGTATATGCAAGTCAATTCCCGGACATATATAGTTGATCAGGCTATATCTTCCCAGATTTAATCCACATATACTAAGGCATACTCAAAATGTTCAACTCTTCTTCTTTTGCTTTATGTTTTCGCTAGTTATGATACCATGCGAGCATGTAATGTATGTATGTATACTTTAATCAAGAAAATCATTTATTTTCTAAGAGTATATTTATTTGAAAAATGCACAAATCAGAGACTATTAGTCCCAATTGTGTTTATAGTTTGTATATCTTATGTGGTTTGATATACTTAATTCACTATAAACTGTGCTCTGATACCAATCTGTCACACCCCCAAACCAAGGATGGCGGAAACGTCCGGGGGTGGAGGACTTCATGTATAGTATCATAACAACAATTGTAATAGTAATTGAAGCAAACACAACCAACATATATATAATTGAAAAAGTTACATCATTGTATGAATTACATGTTTACGAATCAATTACAATATGTTGACAAAATATGAAATAGTAGACGCCTTAGCGCCCCATCCTCAAAAGCACTTGGTTACCTGTTTAATGATTTCCTGAGAATACAAGTTGTTTTGAAAAGTGTCAACACAAAGGTTGGTGAGTTCATAAGCTTTTGTTTGGTATTATTAAAAGCCTTTCGTTTGTAAAAGTAGTATTTGTTTTAGAAAATCCAATATTTTCCTTAAAATGTATATGTAGTCTTAAATTCAAAGACCGAAATGTATAAGTAACTTTTCTTACTTATAATAAATAATGTAAGTTTAAATCGACATAAACTCGTTTAATTTTAATGAAGTTCCCGTAAATTCCAATATTTATTAATACTTTGTGTGAGTTTATTATAACCATGCTATGACCAAGGTTGCCTAAAACGACGTTCTTCGGGCGTCGGAAATGTTATGACATTTGTCACCCCAGACCTATCGGTCTAACTGTTGCATGCAGTTTAGGTGTGGGTTTGTCAAACCCAATATAGATCTATACACAACTATCACGCTCTCCCTCAAGGAGACTCTGGTTACAATACAGGACTTAATGGTAATTTGAAGTAAATGTCTCACAAAGTCATTAACGGAATTACGTGTTATGAAAACTTGGTACCGTATGGCCGTACCTTGCTTAATGAAAATATCCTTTGTATAAATGTACCCTTTTTAAATGTATGTGTTATGTAATGTATCATAAACTATACCTATTATAGTTTATCAACCAAGGGTAGTACGTAGTAATGTATGCAAACTATATTCAAAATAGTTTATTAAATGTTTGAATGTATCGGTTGTACTTTGATTATAATCACTTGTTATTCTTTATATTTTATATGTCCAAATCCATTTGTAAACTGATGTGTGTCTAAATATTAAGATAAAATGTCATATATTGCAATAACATATAATCACATAAAGATATACACCTTGCTCAACATGTTACAAGGTGAAATGAAATTGACAGCAACTTTTCGTTGAATACAGTTTCTGTTACTGTTCTTAGAAAATTTATAGAAAAATCATCAAAGCTCCAAATCCAAATCCACAAATTATGAGAGTTTGGAATATGAGTCTAGTTTGTTCATAAATTTTATCATGATTTTTAGTGATCTCTAACAGAGGTCAAAATGTCCATAATCACAGGCTGGTCCAGGTTTGCCTCTGAAATGATAGGCAGTTTTGTAAAAATCACCATAAATTGTAGAAACATCATATGGAGATGTGCAAGTAGCCATTTTAAAGCTAAGAGTTTGAACTACTTGCACCTGGAACAGTTTTGAAAACTAAAATATTTAAGTTGACCAAAACAGTCCGTGATTAAAGTCCATCTTTTCTGATGTAATCTGTTAGAAAAAGTTTAATTGTGTTCTTGATGATTTTACTTGTATTCCCCCCTTAAAACTTAAGAAAACATGTAAATGTAGGGGTATGAACTCACCTTATGTGATTTCAGTAGATGAAAGTGAGATAGAGGAAGTGTTCAACCCAAGAACACTAAGAAGATGTCTTGATGATTCGAGAATCTAACACCGAATAAGATGGAATTTGTGTAAGATATCAATGATTTGAGTAGAATGGAGTTTAATAATTATGTGAATGATGAAGATACTTACTAATTGAAGGAAGAAATCCCTGGAGAAAGCCTTGAAGTTCTTGAAGTTGAGAGAAAAGATGAGAGAATTTTGGAGAGTGTCCTTTGGTTGCTAAGTGTAGAATGAAAGAACTTTATGGAGAATGAGGAGAGAGGATCAATCCTCCAGCTCTTAGAACGTGGGAAGAGCTGGAGATTGGGTGTAAAGGTCCACTAAGGTGACAAGGAGTAGTGGGAAAGAGTGGATGATCATAGAGTGAGGTGGTGGTGGCTTGCTTTTGTCATAAAATAAGGAAAAGCAAATATTCCCTCAATAATTAGTCCAACCACCAATTCTTTTAGGTACATTTTTATAAAAACCCTGGAGATTTATATATATTGGGGCCTTAGTTTATAAAATAAAGTTTTGGGTGAAAATCCCACGTTAAAATAATGAAAAACGGAGTTAAAACGAAGTCGTAGTCGAAAAACCGGTAAAAAGGGGCCGTCTGCGAGAGAGATTTGGGAGAGATTTGGGAGAGATTTCAAATAGAAAGAGATAGAGTGAAAACGATTTAGAGAGGTTTCGTTTGTGATTAATTTGAGTGTCCGGCTTCACAACGCAAGGTTCGTAAACCCTGTTAAACCGTGTTTTAGTGTCGTACACAATCCCGATGATTGTGCAATAGTGTTTTATCGCTTTGGTTCGTTGTTTAGCACTGTTAAGGCTAAGGAAAATCAAACACATGAACTTTCCAAATGATGATTTCTCATTAAAATAGCGAATTGTATAGTGATTACATAACGTCAACCCTAACATACAAGGGTTATTGGAGTTGACCGGTTTGACTTGTTGACTTTGTTTGACTTTGACTTGACCGAAATTTGACGGTTGTCACAGCATTGAAGTCAAACAGGATGAATCGGGGATTACAATAAACCAAGAAGCGTATGCACAACACATTCTAAAGGAAGTCGGTTTACATGATTGCAATCCTACCCACATTCCCATGGATCCAGGAACCAAAATATCGAAGGCCGAAGATGAACCCGAAATCGACCCGACACAATACCAAAAGTTGGTAGGATGCCTTAGATATCTCTTGCAGACAATACCCGATATGGCATATGCGGTTGGAGTTGTTAGTCGATACATGCAAGATCCAAGAGAATCACATGGTGTTGCAATCAAACACATCCTAAGGTATTTACGAGGAACAACGGGATACGGAATCAAGTACGAGAGGATGGGACAAAATCGAATAATTGGTTACAGTGATAGTAGTCATAATGTTGATCCAGATGACGGAAGAAGCACAACTGGTCATATTTTCTACTATGGGTTGTCTCCAATAACATGGTGTTCTCAAAAGCAAGATACTGTTGCTTTATCATCTTGCGAGGCAGAGTTCATGGCAGCCACTGCGGCTGCATGTCAAGCAATATGGCTTCAAGATTTGCTGGGAGAAATCTTGAACAAAACGCAAGAGAAGGTGGTTCTTAGAGTTGATAACAAGTCGGCTATCGAACTAACAAAGAATCCCGTTTTTCACGGAAGAAGTAAACACATTCACACTAGGTTTCACTTCATTCGTAATTGCGTTGAAAAGGAACAAGTGGAGGTGGAGTACATTCCAGGTGAAGAACAAAAGGCAGACATTCTCACAAAACCGTTGGCTCGAACCAAGTTCAAGATAATGCGGGACTTGATCGGGATTGAAGACATCTCTAGAAGGACTTAGAGATTCGGGGGTGATTGTTGGAATCCTAATTCCTCATTTCACTCCACTCATGTCTTCCACCCATAAATAAAGTATGGGACACCAACAAGTTGGTTGGGTCTCATGTTTATTATTATAGGATTGGAAATGATTTAGTCCATCTTATAAATACAGTGCATTATCAAGAGGGTAATACACACCAACACAGAGAAACAAAAACACACTGTAAACTAATTTGGTTTTTGAGTTATATTTCCAAATTAATCAAAGAGTAGTTTGATATATATTGTGTGCTATTACATTTCTGTAAAGCGTGAGTATCTACAAACTATTATATGAGATAGGATCAATGAAGGATGTTATAACTCGTCTCACAGACACAGATCGCAATAATATGTTGCATTTAGTTGGTAAGAATAGAGTGAAAAATCGACTTGAGGATGTCTCAGGAGTAGCTTTTCAAATGCAACGTGAATTACAATGGTTCAAGGTACACATTATATATCTTCCATCCATATTTCGTTAGCGTGCTAAAGTAAGGTTGGAGGATATTAATTTATAATCTTTTGTACATTGTGTTGTAGAAGGTAGAGTCTATGATTCCTCCTTTTTATAGAAAAGAGAAGAACAATGATGGGTTAACACCACTTGAATTATTCACCGAAAGCCATAAAGATCTAGTGTCAAAAGGTGAGGAATGGATGAAAGGAACAGCTAGTCAATGCATGGTGGTTGCTGCACTTATAGCCACTATCGTGTTTGCAGTTGCTTTTACAATTCCAGGTGGTTACAACCAAAGTGATGGCTTTCCTATGTTTCGCAAAAATGGGGTCTTCATAGCGTTTGTCATAGTGGATGCCATTTCTTTAATCTTATCTTCGACTTCAATTCTTGTGTTCTTATCAATCCTCACATCTCGTTATGCTCAACAAGATTTCTTGAAATCATTACCCAAAAAATTATTGATAGGTTTAGGAACACTTTTCCTATCAATAATGACCATAATGGTCGCTTTTAGCATCAGCTTCTTCTTGCTATATGAAGAGAAGTTAATCACGGTTGCAATTCCAATTAGCGTTTTTGCTTTTATACCTATCATTTCATATGCTACACTACATTATCATCTTTTGATGGATTCGTTTCACTCAACCATTAGTTCAAGACATCTCTTTAAGCCACAGAGACGACTTTTTTCATATGAGAATCCCAGATTGTAACTGTTATGATTGTTTGAATTTGAGCTTCCATTTACATAGTTTGATAATTTTGTACTTGAGGGATATTTATATACGTAGTTTAGAATTGTTTCTGTCGTGTAAATTTTATTCCTCCCACATTATCTAGTTTAGTTCTTTGTTTATTAAAATCTAATTTTCTTCTTTTTGTTTGATCAGTTGCATATAATAATAGATATATAGTGATTATTAAATTGCTATTTTATGAGTTTCGAAAGTATAGTCACACGTAAGTGTTGTCAAACATACTAAAAGTGGATACAACACAATCAAATTTACATATGCAACCAATATAACCAATGCTAAAAGTGAATATGGTTGAACACTTTTTACAAGTTCAACAACATATGGTGTACAAAAAAAAAAATCTCCGGAAAAGTCCTAATATTTTACCCTAATTTACGAAAAAGTTCCAATTACCGGTAAAAATGACGATTTGGCTCATTTTTCCCGGTTTACCGGTTTCATTACTTACGCGGTTTTAATAAAGTCTCATTATTTTACCATGATTTATGAATAAGTCCCAAATTATTGTAAAATAATGGGATTTTAATGAAAATTATGGTAAAATAATGGGACTTTAATAAAACCGGGTAAGTATTGAAACCGATAAACGAGAAAAAAAAGGTCAAATTGTCATTTTTTCCGGTAATCAAGACTTTTTCATAAGTCAGTTTTAGTTTGGGACTTTTTGGTAAATTATGGTGAAATATTAGGACTTTTCCGAAGATTTCCCAAAAAAAAATAATTAAAGTAAAATTACCCCGTATTATGAATCAAGAAGTATCAAGCATAAAGCTTGAAATATGCATTCCATAGCCATTTAAACACAAAACGTTGACAACATAAACACATCAACTTATATATGAGACAGCAAAAGAAACATACACTTTATTGAAATGATACATAGCTTCAAGCTTCAAATCCGTCTTAATTTTCGTCTGAAAATACCAGAAGTAGTCTTTACTTGAGTCTGAAGAAGGTAGCGAAGGTGCATCTAACACCTTTTAGGATGACGTGGCAGTCATCCACATAATAGCCAATGATTTTTGCGTATTTCTTTACTTCCCATGGAAGCAAAGTGACACCCGTGTAAGTCCCATCCATGAAAACCATGAGAAAGATATGATTATGATCAGTTTTTTCACTAGGGAAAGGGAAATACTCATTCCAGTTGCATAACCTTTTGGTCAACACTTTTCTGACCTCACCTGGTTTGACCCTAATGATCATCCGGTATCGGTCAGGCCGGGCAGGTGGAACAAACACTCGAATTTCCATATCTACTGCTGCCCTGTTTTCAAACACAGTCACCCTGCCACCCATTTTGCCTTAACTGTGTGTATGAGTGTGTGTGTGTGTGTGTGTTCGTGACTTATACTAAATCAAAGAGGACAAGTCACAATCCGTGTAGAAATATTTTATCATTCACTGATGCTTACTTTTTGTTGTTTTTGTTTGTTTGTATCAATTGTGAGTTTCAAGGAATTTTCCTAGGAGAGGACCTACTTTTTACAAGTGGTTAAATAGTAGCTAAAAAAATATTCTACTATATCTAGATAGAGAAAAAATTTAGAGGCAAATTTTTAATTTTTAACAGTGAAGACAAATGAGAAAACTCAAGTATTTATACAAAAGTTAACCAACTATGACCATTGTGTCTTCTAGGTAACTTTCTGAGTCTAACGTTAGATGAGGGAATTAAGCAACTAGAAATAGAACGTGGTCTTTTTTTAGATATGGCTTTAAAACTGTTAGATATGGAGGGAGAAAAGGGAGTTGATGATATTTAGAGTGTAGAGTTCACTTTCCTTAATTGATAATTCGACCCTATGCCGGTGTTTCCCAAACTTCAATGCTACAAGATGGAACTTTGAGTTCTCAAGCACAAAGACTGAAGCAACAAACTAAATTTGTATATGTAATATTTAAAATGGTAAGAGACCAAATGCTCGGATGACACTAAAATCAATAATAAAAATTGGAGAATGTGAATGTGAATGTGAATGTGAATGAGGTGATATGATTCAAGGAGGTGGAATGATTACTCTCATAGAGTTGTAATCAGGGAAGATGAAGCAAAAATGAACAGAATAGATGGAAAGCAAGTTTGGATTTATGAATCAGGTTCTTCTCCTCAACATGTCACATGTGCTATACTATTAAGATCGCATTGAACCTTTATTCATAGATGAACTTTTTGTATAATAATTTATTTAGCATGTATCGAACATAAAAAAAAAAAAAAAAAAAAAAAAAAAAAAAAAGTAAGCATTTAGGTGATGTTCAACAGTTCAAGGCTTGATAGTTATACACTTATACTATACTCATGATTTCCATGTAACATATAATACAAGGCAATCTATATGTTCCAGAAAATAAAAGATTTCCGATTCATATAACTATATGTGTTCATGTAATCTTATCTGAGGAAGTTGGAGATATCATTTTTCAACAATCAGTAGAAGAACACAAGATTCTATGGATTCTATCCCCAAAAAGAAAATCCTACAGAAATGCAAATCATTTTCATGGGTTAAAAACTGGAATAGATAAGATCATATGCAGAACCAATCAAGGAGATGCATAACCATACACAAACATGAAGAAATTAAATAGTATATCAATTACATTCAGGCTATTTTTATTCAACAAAACACACTACGATAAATCAATGTTCCAGATAAATATACCTTGGTCTGTTTAGATCGGGGAAAACAGCTCCTCTAAAGATAATCTTTGTGTTCTACAGATGAATCTGACGAAGTCAACCCAAGCCAAACCCAAAAAATCCATCTAATCTTTGCTCCGATATCTTCTGATAGCCAACGATTTTTGCGTAATATTTTGGAAATTGTACCAGTTATCGAGTAAAAGTTACAATCAAACGAACTAAATAAAATTACGCAAAAATCATTGGCTACAGCAGTAATGGAGGCAAAGATCGGAAGAATATGGTATGGCGTGGACTGACGCCGGCAGGCTATTCACGAATTCTCCGATCGCCTCCCACCGGAAGGTCCAGATCGGCGGAGACATTAGTGAGATGGGGTTTATAAGGCTGAATTTAGTTTTTCCGAAACTAGTCCCTGAACTACTTGTTAAATGACATATTTCGTTTTTCAAGATTTATTTTTACAATTCCAGTATTGTTTTTGGCTACTTTGCAACAATCAACTTCCATTAATTGAAGATTAGAAAATTTTAAGAAATAAACTAGATATATTATATCTATAAAATCAAAATATTTAAATATCCATCGATCAATAAAAGATCCCAAAGTCATCAAGAGTAGATGAAAACCCACCAAATTCCAAAAAAGATAAATAAACAAATATGAACAAAACCCAGCAATCACGATCACAATAATTTTAATATAAATACTCATAATCTTTTGTCATTTTTATGGAAGATAAGTAACCAACGTAAAAATAGATATATTGATTCGTATATATAGTTTTTATGCACATAAATGCTCCACTTTAAAAGGAAACGTGCAAGCCTGTTCCCGTGGTCTCCATCGAATAAGCCCACACGCCATTAAAATAGAAGTGTTGAAATACCGCAAGTAACGTTTTTGTTACGGCTATTAAGGTTTAAATATATATATATATATATTTTCTTTTATCAAAATTGCACGATTTACTTCTTATTTTATATTAAACTGATTATTTATATTAATTAATTTAATTTAAACTACAAAAATATAATATGTTTTTATGATTAAGAAAAATAAGTATCCAATTGTTTAGAGTTTAAACTTGTTACAAAAAACATTTTCACATCTGTGGGTCAATCGTTAAGTGGGTCCAACCCACGTGGGCGAACTATGAGATCACAACTCCTAAAAAATCCTAATAAAAGGCTTTATAGACATGATCACATCTCCATTAAACTTTTGGAGAGAAAGATGGTGATGATGACAACCAGCTGCTGTTTCAACCCACGGCCACCCACAGTTCCTCCGGCCACCACATCCACCAGTCAACCACCGTCATCCGTCAGGTATGTCAAATTAACCTACCTCTGTCGACGCATCAGCCGCCGTTGATCCAACTATAAGAACACGTGTCTTTATAAAACCTGCCCTCCCAAATCTGTGCACGTTAGCACACGACACACATCTCTTCTAACATACGCCTGCTGGACTTAAAGTTATTTTTGTGTTGACTTTTTTGGGTTGTGTTTGTGTAGACCAAAGAAGGAGGTTTCTTGGAAGAATCAATGCGTAGTTGGAATGGCATGTGTGATAATTGGACTACAAGTGGAGGGCATAGTTGTAAATAACCATGACTACGCGGTTGCCATTGAGTCAAAGGCGGTGGCGTCCAAGATAAAAGGGAAGCGGTGGAGTGGTAAGAGAATATGTCCGGCATGGCAGTTGAATTCATTGGAGACAATTGTGCCGGAAGATCTTCCACGGCCATTTCATAGGCGGAGATGGGAGGAAATTGGTGATGATCATTCAAGAGTTGCTCCACCGGTTAAAGCTTCCCCCACCACCATCACCGCCGCCAGCAGTGCTTGTTTCTCTATGTAGAAGATTCTTGATCACTTAAAAATGTTACATTTTTTATATACTTTTGTAAATATCATACAAAATACATGTTCACATCATATACTTAGATTGAAATAATATTCGACCTATTCTTACCGATACCACAAGTCTTGTTAAATTATGAAATGGACAACAAATTAATTAATTACTCGTTAAAAGAAAACATTAGGAGGCCATTTTTGAAATCGTGTGCAATCAATGGACTTAGATGTTTAGGTATCGGGTTAATTTACTTTCCATGCATGCATGAAAATGTTTTTATATTCTTTGTGACATGTAAATTAAACGTGTTTTCTATGCCAAAATGTCAATATGTCAAAAATACCTTACGATCTTTTTACAAAAAGATTTGATGGATACCTTACGAATCAGTTTAAACATATCATTATTTGACTATGTCACATGAAAATACACAAAACAAACATGTTTTAAGAATATCTTTATAAAAGACAAATCGTTCTCCCGACATGAAATACTTGTGCATCTATGTCAATGGGCGCGCATTATCTTTTATTTACAACTGAGACTTTAATGACAGACATTTGTATGTTATCTTAACCCTTTATAACACGAAATATATATGTTATTTTTCTAGTAGTGGATGCAGCCGTGTAATTACATAACAAAAATTCATATATAAATTACTATTGTTATAATAATTTGTATTTCATAAAATAATAATTACATGACTTTGAATGAATAATCAAACTTGATGAATTAACATTATATATGAACTCAATTATCAGCGAAATTTGAACCATGTTTGGTGGAAAGATATTAATTTCCATCACATATTCTAGACAACGAAATACTACTTCTATTAAGATGGGCAGACTTCATAAATTGTCACTATATCTTTTTACTTCTAACCACATATTCAAATATATAATATTAATTGTAAGTCACAAACATGTTTTTATGATTATATCATACCATTAATGACAATAATGATTAATAATTGACAAATATCTTTAAAGAGAGAATATTTGGGTTGGTGAAGGAAAATAAGTCGTAGTACAAAAGCTTGTAAATTTTAAGTACATGTAGTACAAGAATAGAAGCTTCACCCCAGCCAAGAGCCAATCTTGGTCCACGATGAAGTTGTGGTTGTCTAGTTGATGACTCTTTTACAAGATGTTGATGCTACGTCGTTTTTTGACCCAATTACGTGTTATTCAGCACAAGCTTTTAAATCACTAGTCATAATTTTGGGCATTATTCGAAAGGATTGCAAAAAATTTGATTAACATTTGTTTGCTTGTGTTTTTCATTTCGCTTTCATTTTATATAGGTGGTCGTTACATGTACAATAAGGCAATAATGGTATACAATACTTCCTTTTGTATTACTTTCCTTGGTGTTAGTGTTTGTATAGCTTTATTATTAGTTTATCACTTCTTCTTTTACATTTTAGGCTTCGATGTAGACCTGGCAATGGGCGCGTTTGGAGCGAATCAACCTTGATCCAAACTCATTTAACACATTTCAAATTCCGATCCAAACCCGCATGGTTTTGAAAAATCAAACTCATACCCTTATCCGTCGAATCAACAGATATCCAAACCCGCCACGTAACCCGTAAGTTTTTTGAATAATCAAACGCATTTTACTTAAACCTCAAAATAATATTTATTAAATAAAATAGATGTTGATTTAAATAACACATTACGTACTCGACGTCTTTCGATTGGAATTAAAGCCATTTTCGTAGTAACTTCTGATTGGTTTTTGACCGTCGATTGCATTGATAGAGAATAAAAATTTTACACTTTCTTCCGATTGATAAATGATTGTTTGGTTGATGAAAAATAAATGAAATGACATCATTTTTCTTGTTAGAATACTGAAAGTCTAGAAGTCGAGTCATTGATTCTTATGTAAAAACAATCTAGTCTTTGGTCTTTTCTCTTTGGACTTTCGATTAGAATTAAAAGTAAACTTTAGGTTCTATAAAATATAAATTTATAATTCTAAAATTTATACGGAGCGGGTCATAAACGGAACGGATCAGTGATGATCCATACCCGACCCTTTTAATAAAAGGTTAGCGGGTACGGGTCGTTAACGGGTAAACGGATCAAAAACTATGATCCAAACCCACATAATTATTAAGGGTTTGGATCGGATCAGGGTCAAAACCCGCTCCATTGCCAGGCCTACTTAGATGTCTATAAGGCTGAGAGGAATGGTGTCGGACATGTCGGACTCCACCTTAACTCCAGCAAGGAAAGGGTGAGTTTTGCAGTGTTGGGGAAGAAGAGAGAATGGGAAGATATATAGTGTAGCAAGAGAGGACAGAGACATGACAGACTGTTACCGAGTTGGACTATCGAGCTCGGCATGCCGAGCTGAGGGTATAAATGTTTGCCGAGCAGACACAGCTCCTACTGATTCAATGTCAAGCCCACTCCGCATGGCCTAAATACTTGGTTTAATAAACCCACATTTATTAATTAATAAACATGTTTTACCGATAAGTTGTCTCATCACATATGAGACATGCATTATGGGGTGTTTAAGATTGTTTATTTAAAGTGTTTATTAGCATATTGTAATTTGACATCGACAATATGCACAAAACATTTTAAGTATTTGGATTAAAAAAAAGTTGATTTTCGTAATAAGTATTTTTTATCAATTGTGTTCTTTTAACTTATTAGAGTCTTCTATTAGGGATAGAAACTAAATTACACCTTGATTTAAAGAAACTACAAAGTCAATATTATGTAAGATGCTTATTTTTTGCCATTTTAAACGTATAAGCAAAATCTATCAAAAACTAAAATCAATTTACCAGAATGACGCAATTCAATGTCATTCAAGAATCTCGTTAAGCATTAAAGGATCATCTAAGATTTGACAATCTTTAATAAACGTCGATTGTTCAAAGCTAAAGGTTGTGTATTCGTTTCTAAAGATGGATTTCAATAGAAAAAACAAAGCATTTTCTCAACATATCGCACTTGTTTTTCGGATTTCAAACATGTTCTTGAAATTTTGGAAGAAGTTTCTTTTCCTATCCGAAATACTTGGTCCAAAATCCAAAATGAATTTTTTGGTCAGAAAAAAAGTAGTTTGATATAACATAACACAAGTCCGAAATGTATATGACCACATCACGATTAATAGTTTAAATGAGCATAATAACTAAACATATTATTAAACAAGTTCACATACATTTGTTAAATTCGAACATTCTAAGAAATTCACATTTTTTTTTTGTAATTGCTAATGCCAGCCATTACAGCACTCAAGGTCCGCCATATCTAGTTATGAAATTTTATGGTGAATGCTACACAGAAAACATTAAAAACAAACCATCTTTCCAACTGATAGCATTACTTTGTTTTGGCATTTTATCAAACACCTAATGTGCCCTACCAAAATTACAACTTAACTATAGAAATCCACTTTAGACAAATCACACAGAAACAAAAATGAAGGAGGAATAGGAAGCCTGAAATATATTTGAATAAGAGTTACACCCTTAAACCAAATTAACTAGTTTGATAACTGATCAATGTTAAAACCTCATAAAAAGTTCTAAACTCAATGTAACACATGAACCCATGTCTTATACATACTCATTTAATACAAAATCCAGCTTAAACCAATCAGAAACATAACTGTATGCTATCTTTCTTTAAATTTATTTCAGATACAAAGAAGAGGTAGAAGTGATTATGATGTTGTTTTTGTAGAGTCTAGATTAGATGAAGATAAGGTAACAGAATCAACAGTTTTAAGTTGATCAAGTTGCTTTTTACCCCTACGAAGCAAGTACTCAATATGTAGGAAATCTTTGCGATCTATAAGTTTTGAATTCTTACGAAATTCACCTGATATAATTGATTCCATGTGGGCCCGGTTTTCTGTTGGTTTAGAACGTGTTGTTCTGAGAAAACATCTGTATAGGGAAAGAACTTGCTTCTGAATACCAGATAACTTTTGTGCCCTTGAACCTCCCATTGCATCTTCTCTTCAATAATCAATACTTTCACCTTTTCCCTTTTTGAAATGTTCCCTGTATACCAATAAAAAAGACTTTCATTGGATTGTGTAAAATGAATACAGATTTGTTAAGATCAACTTGCAGCTAATGAATCTCCATTAACAAGCATAGTTCATGGGGGTGTTTGGATCTCCAATTACAAAGTGAATTGAGAAGACAATTGAACAATTTTAGGTTTATATTATCAATAAGTTTTCTTTGAAGGAACTCTATATACCCTAAATCTGATGTTTTTAATACCAAGTTTTTTGGCGCATTGGGAATCATACATATACATATATACAAATACATTTGGGATTACTAATTCGAGTTTAAACTCAAACACCAAAAAGAAATTGAAATTAGTTACATCTTCAGCATCCAAGAACTCGATTATACACCTACATAATCCGCTAAATGTCGGAATTTAAAGGAAACAAGGAGGTGAAAACAAAAAATCGAGGCTGCTCTGGTACAAATTCAGCAAAGATTGAAAATCAAAAGGCAACACGAGCTAATAATGTCAATTAGATAATAGAGAACAAAGAGAAGCCAAACCTTAAAAGAGCGATTAGAATCGATTGAGGAATTTCTGCTTCGTCGTCTGGTATAAACCTTGGAGCAGATGCTAAACTGAGAACATCTTTCGTGGACCAAAATATGGCCACGGAGTCGGAGCTCCGGAGGGGGGAGGGCGATCGGCGGTTGTTGGGCTGAATTACACAAGGTGTGAATCCAGTCCACTGTGCGTTTGGGCTTCAGCTGCCAATAAGGCGAAATGTATGATTAATCGAGGCCATTCTATTTATTAAAATTTTGGCTTTTTCTTTATTTTTTTATTATATAAAAAAGACCAATCAACCTTAACACTTAAATCGATATTATTTTGAAGTAAATTTTACACTAATATTTTTTTTCAACACTAAAAGTTTACGGTTAACACTGAAAATATATTTTAATATTATAATAACTTTATCAATATATTATACCTTACAATTTAATTGTTTAATATCTAAATTAATAATATTAAAGTTAATTAGTTCATTTTGAAAAATAATTTATGTTGTAAATAATTTTAAAACTAAAATTACGACATTGTGTTAGTACGTTAC